GTGCTGGTTACTTAGAAATCATACCTTAGATTTTTAGCGGTGTATATAGCTAGCTGTGTCTTGTTCCTATCAAGAGTGTGTTCCTTTTGCCACAGACTACTTTCTTCTTAAAAGGGGCTGCATCTGTGTCTGCACAAGATAATTGGTTTCCTCAAATGTAGGTCTCACATAAATGAATAATGCCACAGTCCAAAAGAAAGGCTAACTAATCATATCCTTTGCAGGTTATTGCCCATGATACCATAACCTAGGAAAGAATTTCTGGTTTATTATCAGTAATGAAAGGTAAAGGGAATTGCAGGCAGGCTGTATCGTTGCAGTAACTTTGGTGTGATGATGGTAATGAGACCGGGGCTACGATGATGTGATCAATTGAAAAACGTATTTTGAGGGGAGTTAGTGCCACCTATATTCACTGACAGTGGAGATTCTTGATGGTGATATGTGGAGATTATTATGTGAGAAGCAGGGAGGCATTAGAATGACTGACACGTCTTGGCCTGAGCAACCAACTGATTGATGTTGCCATCAGCTGAGGTTTGGTTTTTTCACATGCCAATTGTTCTCATATTTAAATTTGCCTGATAATGATTTTCTTCACATGTTTAGATGTCAGAGAACATCACTAAGAAAGATCCTGAACTTACTTATTGGTGATAGCCTCTGCCTCAAGTTTTAAGAACCGTGTCTGTAAACTTTGACTTCATATCTAACAAATTTTAAAAGACTAAAAGCAGCAAATTTCAAAGCAGGTTATTGTTAGGAAGAGACTGCACTTTAAAAAAAAAGTAGTAAACCATAAATATTTGGTGCAGTTCTCCGTTCAGCAGAATCTTGGTGCATTCTAGATTAAATTCTTCTTCAGCTGTGTCAGGCAGATAGAAGAAAGACTGAAAGCCAGGAGGTGGGACAGGCATGTAAACACCTGCGTCCCTCGTCACGGGAGCAGTACTGCGCATGTTCAGTGTAAGGCTGAATATGCATTTTTTAAAAAGCATTATTAAGGTTAAGAAAAATTGAGTTTGCTGCTTCTTAAAAAACATACCCAAAAACAAAATTAGGGAAACTAGATTAGTTTCTTCTGAGTAAAGTGACTTGAAAGCTCATGATGCTTTAACTTAGTTCAAAAAGAGAGAGGGGAGAGGGGAAGAGGGAGGAGAGGACAGGGAAGGGGAGAAGAGAAGAGAGGAGAGGAGAACTTAGTCGTCAAGTTGCTGTTTAAAAAGTCAGTTGTAGGGGCTGGGAAGGTGGCTCAGTGGTAGAGCGCTTGCCTTGCATGCATGAGGCCCTGGGTTCGATTCCTCGGCACCACATAAGCAGAAGGAAAAAGAAAAAAGAAAAAAAAAAGTCAGTTGTAATGATGGCCTTAACTATAAGTGATGCCTGGCAAGATTATTCAGAAGTTCTGCTCGCTGGGGCGCTGTACACTGCTAACCTAGGCTATGTCCAGGAATGGGTCCAGCAGCTTCACAATGAGCCTAGCTGACCACATGGGCCTCTTCAGTTTAGCATGGTGCTCCTCCCCTCACCTGCACACTATAACTCTCTGCATACGGGTTTATGTGTGATGACAGAGCCCTGAAAGACAGTTAGCAGCTCATGCCTCACTGAAAGGAGTTGCTTCTCAGTCACTGTTTATTGTCTTCAGTGGAGGGAAATATATATGATGGTGATTTGTAGAGATTCTTGAGGGTCCAAAGGCTTGGAAATGTTAGCTGTCTTTTGAGTAAGTAAGATGGGTCCTGAGCATCATATTTCTTTGAGGTATGTAAATTTTCCCTATGACTGGCTGTGGTAGATGGTGTCCATATTGAGTGATTTCAGCTGATTGCCCCAGACTGACTAGTGTAGCCCCACCCCCACCCCAGAAGCAACAAAGCATCTTAGCAACTAACTAACTACAACGGTCATGTGTATCCCAGGAGTTGGGCCTGGGTTTGAACATATAAATTCACTAACATGAGTCAAAGGCAATACAGGTTACTTCTGGACAAAAATCTAGACATATCAGCAGCCATGGCCCAATGAGTTTGGCGGTAACTAATTCAGAGTAGGCTCCTGGTTTTCACTCCCAAAATCACATCCACTAGAAGCTCTTGCATGGACCTCCAGATTTAGACTTGGCTGTGCTTTGGACACTTCAGCCAGCTTTATAGGAGCCTTGATACCTGGAACAGCGCTAGCCAGGTATTACAGGAAAGTACAAGTAGACAAGTAAAGGGTTCAAAAGTGTAAATGAAGCTGCCCTGACACTGGGCTTCCAAAATATATTTGCAAGAAAGATCATCTGTCTTTCAGTTCAGCATGTTGTGAAACATGACAGAGAGGATACTGCTGTTTTGTTGGACTACATAGTAATGTGTCGCTCTTGTATTGGAAGAGTTTTGTAGATTTGTTAAAGGGCTAGAAGGTGACATTTTATTAGGCAGAATGGCTCTTCTGTTACAGCTTCATTAATTATGATACCTAGACATAATTGGGCTCTCGCTAAGAATAGCAGATAAAAAAGAAAGTCATCCTCAGGAAAAAAAAATGAGTTGAGGTTCTGAGAAACCAAAAGAACAGTCACAGAGGGCATCTGCTGCTTCTCAGGCACCGCTATCACCAGAGATGGCAATACACGGTCACTATAGCCAATTGCACAGGAACCTTAACCTTTTGACTGTCTTCCACTTCATGTTTTATAATAGACATAGACAGAAATAATTGGAAATAACCTGCAAGATTCAGAAATAACTATTTGGATGGTTTGAACTTAATCCACTCACTTTTAATTAATAGACTATTTTTAGAGCAGTTTTAGTTGCCAGAAAAACTGCCCAAAAAGTTTCCATATATACCTCTTCTCCCCACCCTAGACCCATGCACAGCTTCCCCTGTCTGGCATTGCCAACAGATATTAATGAACCAATATTGCTCCATTAATATTAATTTCTAATATTTACATCAGGACCTATTTCATATTGTACAGTCTGAATTTTGACAAATGTCCAACATGAAGACATTTCCTACTACAGAGTCACATAGTGTTGTTTCACTGCACTAAGGATGCCCTCTCTTCCACCTCTTCTCCCTTCCTACTTGTACCCTGAACCCTTACCTGAGCATTCGACAGCCACTGTTCTTTGTTTTGCCCATAGTTTTACCATCCCAGATATTTTTAAGTAACTGCCTAAGAAAGTATCATTCATTTATCTATTCATAAAACAGATCCTCAGTAAATTCTATGGGCATTTACTTTGTGTATGTATTGGGATTTACAGCAAAGATACAGACATTAAAAATCCCAATCTCAGAGTCAGGTATAGTGGCACGTACTCAGCTGGAATCCCAGCCCTCGGGATGTTGAAAAACAGGAGTATTTGAGTTCAAGGCCATCCTTGGCTACACAGCCAGCTTGAGGTCATCCTGAACTACATCATGAGACCCCTATCTCAAAACAAAACAAAACAAAAGAGGAAGAAAGGAAAGAAGGAAGGAATCCCAGTCTCCATGAATCATATATCCTAGTATATATTCTATATATTCTAGCCTCTAGTGAGATAGACCATGAGCACACAGTATGAGAGGAGGTGCTTGAAGAAAGTAATCTGATAATGGCTTTTCCTACTAGCTAACCCCATGCTCAGTTCAAACCCTCATCTTCCTTTTTTCCTTCTGTAGTCTGGCCCTGGGAGTTGGGCCTTCTGGCTTCCTCCCGCTGCCACCTGTTTTTCCCCAAGACCAGCAGGAGCCCAGAGCCAATTCCTGACTCTTCCATTCTCTTGTCTCTGAGATAAGTGTGTATACTTCTTCCATACTTTCATTAAGGTTTTACTACTATAGCCTTGCCTAATACTGATAATAATATGATAAAAATATACAAGATTATAAGAAACAAGTGCCTGTATTCACCGTATAAAGACTAACTAGACAAGGTTGTTCCAGTTTGGGAAATGAATACCTCCAGTGCTTTGTCAAGCCTCCAATCCTCTCTTCTTAGGCTGGTAAAAATCTGTGTAAGTCCATAAGAAGCCTGATTCTTTTCCCTACCATTTTCTCCCCAGCCCTCTAGAGAGTTAAGATTTTAGTAATTGGGGATAAACCAGAAAGGGAATGGATTACTCCAAGATCCATTCTGTCCTCACCTGCTGGGCCTACTACTAGCCCTTTGAATCTGATAAAAGAAGCATATTGAGGGGCTCAGTGGTAGAGTGCTTGCCTTGCATGCCTGAGGCCCTGGGTTTGATTCCTCAGCACCACATAAGCAAAAAGAAAAAAGCCGGAAGTGGCGCTGTGGCTCAAGTGGTAGAGTGCTAGCCTTGAGCTAAAGAGCTGAGGGACAGCGCCCAGGCCCAGAGTTCAGGCCCCACAACCGGACCCCTCCCCCCCACCAAAAAAAGCATATTGAAAAATCAACTAAATGGAATCCTTGTTAACCCTCCCAAGCAGACAGATGAGAGCCAGTGATGCACAGCTCCTCTCAACTACACACACAGTCACATCACACTAAGAGCCTGAATTTGGCCATGATGGGAGTATTTACACCTTAGGAATTGACCAACTTTTCCAGTAACAGTTTAACTTTTTTCCCCAAAGAACCATTTTACCATCTTACTAGTATGCAGACTTTTAGTCATCAAATGCACATATTGGTTTTACCATAGGACTTTGATCCAAGAACACTGCTTAATTTTATGCTCAAAGTCTATTTTCAATAGTTTCAGGGATAAATGCCAACCACAGTGTGCAGTTTAGTTGATCCAGCACTTTTGTCAACCAGAAATCACATCAGGCAACATCCACATTTCTCATACTCAGGCTTGAAGAACTGAGGCTATTTACAGGTGGTTTCACCTCTGTTGACATCATTGAAGTCTCACAGGGATACCATCCTGAGAGTTCCTACTGCCGGGGTCAGACCCTGATCGGAATTAACATTTCCCAGATCCAAGTTTGCTTATCCATGTGTAATTAATAAGGTGCTACCTTTGCTGACTGGCCCTTTTGTGCCCATGCAGGACTGCACACGCCAGAGCAAAAGCTGACGCTGCTGACCAGGCTGCAGTGGCCGCCCGCCAGGAATGTGACATCGCGAGAGCTGTGGCCAGGGAGCTGTCGCCTGATTTCTACCAACCAGGTACACCAATTCTTAGCTTGCAGAGGTGGGAGCACTGGCATTGGTTTTCTTTTCCTTTTCCTTTAAAGGTGTTTTATGAATCTCAGCAGTAATAAATACATGGTAGAATATTGTAATCATCTGAATGTCAGCATTGGGAATTTGAATTATGCCCAGGGTATCTCCCTGCCTGAGCCACCTTCCCATCTTCTTACCTTCCAAACCACCCAACCCCACCCCCAACCACATATCATCAGCAAACTATGAGCCAACATCTCTAAACAAGAAGTATCTTTTTGTTAAAATTATCTAAGTGACAATTGTAAATTCTGTGACAACCCCAGACTCAAAGACACCTAACATTAGCAGCAAAAGAAGAACCAGCAAGTATTATGATTTTTAAAAAGATATATCTGAACATTAAAGGAGTGTAATTAGAAGATAACACAGTGAATCACTTACTCTGCACAGATTAAGCTGAAAATAAATTCCATAAGGAAGAAAGGGCATAAAATAAGTCCTCATTCATTATGTGTCTCAAAAATGTTGTAAAGTAGCCAGGCGCCGGTGGCTCACACCGGTAATCCTAGCTACTCAGGAGGCTGAGATCTGAGGAACAGGGTTCAAAGCCAGCCTGGGCAGGAAAGTCCATGAGACTGTTATCTCCAATAAAGCACTAAAAAACCAGAAGTAGCTCTGTGACTCAAGCAGTAGAGCATTCGCCTTGAGCTGAAGAGCACAGGGACAGCGCCCAAGCCCAGAGTTCAAACCCCACGACCGACCACAAAAAAAAAGGAAGAAAAGAAATGTTGTTAAGTGCCAATCAAAATTATTTGCAGTAAGTGTACATATTTAATTTGCTTCATACTTCTTCCACTCCATCTGCAATGGTTTATTCTTTTCGCAAAGCAGTTAGAGTCACCTTATTACATACATCATTATCTTTCTAACAATTGCTTTCAGAGATCAACAGATTTCTAGCTGAAGAAACAAAAATGACTGCATCAAGTTTCTTGAAAAAAATCTATTTCAGGCTTGGAGCATAGCTTAAGTGGTAGAACATCTGCCTAGCAAGCACAAATCCCCAAGTTCAAATCTTACTACCTCCTTACTTCATTTAAAAAAAATTTATTTCCTTGGTAAAGAACTTCTCCTTGATGATTTTTTATTATATTAGTAAACTTCAACAGCTATCCCAGTACCCTACACAGTATGGTATGTTCAGTGTGAGTGCAGTTTCCCAGAGAGTGGTACATTGGAGCCACAGCATGGCTCTGAATCCTAATATATGGATAATGAAACTAGGGTTTTAGACCCCAGACTCAAGGAGTCCCACAAATCAAGGTGTGGCACCTGCCTCTGTATGCTATGAAAGAGACATGATAAAAAGCAGAGCAAGATTTATCACATGACACATGCATGGTACAGGAAGACAGCATATCAGTACATCTTGAGTCATCTTCAAAGTCTAGTCATGATCTGTTCATGACTGTATGTAAACCTATAGAGGTTTAAATAGACAAAGAATTAGGACAGGAGCAAAATATGTGCATAAGTAGTATGTTGAAACCTCTGTAGGTTAATGAAGTTATCATGAGTAGATCATAGTTGAGAAGTGGTGCCCAATAGCACATTTGTCAGCTGAGCCCTTGTTATTGATATCTGGTCCAGTCTTCTGTCTGGCCCCTTCCTTGGTTCTCAGTGACTTGCAGGAAAGAATGACTCAAGGCAAAGATACAAAAGCTTTTCTCCCACCTTTTACATTGAAGGCCAAAGTATGTAGTCAATGCTTTTCATCAAAAGCCGGTTTTTAAGTCTTGTTACAGTCAGCAAAGTATAACCAATGTCAAGAGCCAGAGAAAATCTAGAAACATCACTGTACTAAATGATGGAGGAGTGAGGGGAAAATAACAAATAGATTTTGAAGATCTTGGGTTTATTGTTGCCTCATGAAAAGTAAACAGTGCCAGGCAAAGACTGAACACCAAAAAAGCTAAAGAGGGCCCAGTTGGCTTGCTGATGGAGTCACAGAGTGATTTTTCAAGAGTTCTAGGTCAAGGGAGGCAACTGGTCATAATGAGTATTTTCTTTCATGTGCATCTGTTTTAAGTCTTTGATGGGATTTAAATCCTTTCATGCGTGTATGTGGGAGTTTGTTTGTTTGGAAAGGGACTCTGCATTTGTTTGCAATGACCTCTGATCAAAGGAATTTTTATGGTGTGAAATAAAGTTGTACTTCCTTGGTGTCTAAGTACCTTGGTGAATTAGCCCTTCCAGGGTATAAGAGTTATAGAAGAGCTGAGCAAGTGGGAAATGGGTTGGGGGTTGGGGAGTGTTCTGCCCCATGCTCCCCAATGGTACTGCCATAAGGACAAGCTGGACAGTTAAGAGGCAGTGAATTTAAGTTATTCTCTCAATGAACAAACATACTATTGTCTGCAGATGCTAATTTTTGGTCCTGTTGTTAATTCTACTGGGGGATAGAGTCCCTCTAGACTTCCATTAGGTACTACCCACAGGTAAATGATACAGGTCATCTTAGTTTCTCAGACTAAATGGTAAGGCCTTTTATGGTGCAAATGCATTTGAAGGGAAAGAAATATTGTGGGAAAATGTAATCTCACCCTTTCTTAGCAAAAATAGCTTCATATAAGCAATTTGTCCATCAGTAATGAATACATCCCAGTAGCATGAGATGACAGCAGGTCTCTTTGAGGCTACGGCCACAGCATGGAAAGCTGCAATACCCTTTGACCCACAGCCAGCATTTCCTTCAGCAGCTGTATAGAAGGCCTTTCTTACCAAGTATTGCAGATCTTCTCCGGGGACCATGGCTCATGCTTTCCACTCTGCCTTTACAGGGTGATCAAATCATAGAAACATTTGCTAACCGGGCTTTCAAGTACTTCTGCTCACTTAATTTACATAGCTCAGTTACAAGTGTCACCTTTGTGTGTAGTACATGTGCCTTAAGCCTAGATAAAAATGTGTCTGTCATGGCTTGCATTTTGAATGTTTTCATAGTAAGTTATCTATCTTCAGGCACTGGCAGTATTTTCACATGTTGGCCATCTTAATTCAATCCTTATGCCTATAGTTTAAACATGTATCATTTACAGTTCATTTACAAATGCAAAGGGAAACTAAAACATAGACATATGGGATATTAAGTTCTCAAAGGGTTAGATTAATTAAACTTAACCCTCTCAAGAAGTTAATAATAAAACGTGAACAAATGGGATATATGGGGAAAATGTGTACATAATTGCATAAACACAGAGAAATGGAAATTGCAATTGGTGTGCATGAATAGTGAGTCCCCGCCCCCCACCAAATGAGAATTTAGAACTTTCCCCCTGAGGGGTAAACTTGAAATTGAGCCATAGGCATGCTTAGACATTGGTCACCTGATCACTCACAATCCATGATTGCAAGGCTATAAGGACTTTAGAAGTTCCTTATGACAGGACTAGGAATATGAAAACATCTAAAAAGAAATTGGTCACCCTCAAAGTATAGAAGAAAAGTGAGTCAGAGGCAAAAATTGGCAGTGTATATCCAGAGCCTGTCCAGAGGAGGAGAAGCCTGAGCCAAAACCTTGGAGTATCTCAGTGGCATTGGCAAGGACATTTCTATTATAGGGCAGGATACTGTGGCCAGTGGTGGATGGCTCTATTGGCAAGATCATCATGACTGAGGAAATGGACACATCAGGCTAGCTCAACCTGATGCCATTACATAGTTGATTCATCTCATGCTCCTTGTTCTGATTCCACATTCACCAGTAACTCATGGAGGTCTGCCCGAAGGGAGTGTCAGCACAGGTCTTGTGGCCTGTGTGATATTTACCCTGCTCACTGTGAATTAATGGATTAGCCTTTTACATCAGCCTTGTGAGCTTTGGATATGAGTAGGCCCCAAGCAGTGGTTCTACATACAAATACTATAAAATCAAGTTTCTGAAGGCGGGAAGGCCGGATGAAGCTTTTGACAAGTAGAAGGGATTAAAGAACCAGACAATTGGGAAACTATATTCCTGGCTCTTCAGTTTCCTTTCCACCAAAATTTTAGTTTGTTTTTAATTTCAAGTGCTATTAAATAGGGCATTAACTTTTGCATTTGTCAGTGGTCTGGGCATGGGTTAAAGAAATTGAAACACTGCTTTGGAACATGGTGAATTTATTACTTTGAGTCCTCTTGGAAGAGAGCCAGCCTCCTTTCCTAGGCAACATCTCAACAAACTTTGTCTTCCTCTGCTGAAGCAGGCATGTGCTCACACGCAGCACATTCATTATTTAAGGTGGAAGTGCAGCCTGCAGGTTATTTAGTGTTAACCAAGCTTGCATTTCTGGTATGAATTAGAAGTCTTTAAAGATCAAAGCATATGTTTACTATGTAAATAAATACCTGTGCCTATCATCAACATGTACAAATAAAGCATCTAGGAGTGATGACTCTCACGTTCACCTTTCAAGCCTAAGATTCTGAATACAGGTATTCATGAAAAAAAGTGAAATAATCCACTGGTGATTAAAATTGGTGTGTTTGCTTGTTATTATTGCTATTTATTATTTATTATTACTACTTATTATTCCTTTCACAAATGTGGACAGGGCCAGTCAAGTGCAGGGCCCTGGAGTGGATGTCCTGTGGCTCACACTGAGTACAGTGTTGTGTTCTCTGGCATTGTGGCATTGTTACAGATGGGACTGGAAAGTCCAATGGAAAGTGTTGTTCTTTCCCTACGGATCACAAAATGTGATTTTGCTGCAGTTTGTATCACCTTTTAGAATCGTGTAGTCTGGTCCTTTTTCCCTGATTAGCAGTCTATAGATAAAATTATTATTGTTATTAGTGACTCCTGCTGCCACTATTAAGCATTTAATAAGGCCCTACTCCACTAGACATTTGTTTGGGTTTGGGGGTATTTAACTCAGAGCTTGTGAGGCAGTTACTTTACCACTTGAGCTATGCTGCCAGCCCCTTTCTGCATTGGTTATTTTCAAGGGAAGGTCTTTCAG